GTCAATGCAGGATAGAACAGAACCAACCGGTTGTGGCCTTGGTCACTTCCGTTGCACATTGTGATGTTTCTGGATAACTTCAGTGATCGCAGTCGGCCATGTGTCGGCGACGGAGCTTTCAAATGTCTGCCCTATCAATTTTCGATGGTAGGTGAACTGCCTACCATGGTGATAACGGGTAACGGGGAATCAGGGATCGATTACGGAGAGGGAGCCTGAGAAACGGCTACCACTTTCAAGGAAGGCAGCAGGCTCGTAAATTACCCAATCCCAGCACAAGGAGGTAGTGACGAAAAATACGGATACATGACTCATGAGACGCTCCGTAATTCGAATGAGTACACTTTAAATCCTTGTATGAGGATCAACTGGAGGGTAAGTCTGGTGCCAGCAGCTGCGGTTACTCCAGCTATAGAAGCGTATATTAATGTTGTTGCAGTTAAAATGCTTCAGAGAAGGGGCCAACTCCTCCAGGGATTTCCGGCCCAACAAGCTCATCAAAGATACCACCATCCATATCCACCAACTCCAGATCCACCTGCTGCTCAGCAGGAGGAGAATCCCACAAACAGAGGGACGGGACATCTCGTTGGACAGACCCGGCAGTCGGCTCAGGTAACACCTTCGCCTTCCGCGACCCTCTCTTAATCTTACCACCATCATCCTCTGGCCTGTGGCCTTTCTTCCGATACTGAGTAAGTTGCCAACCAAGCTTTCGCAGTTGCTTCTTGATACCCTCGGCTGTACGCCCAGGGAGGGCCGACTCGAACTTCCCATACACCTGTTGCTTTTCCATTCCCTGATTAAACCAACACTCCGCTTGTTCTAACGCCACCTTACATTCACTCTGAGTCCATTCCCCCTTTCTTCTGGGTACATCCATCAAGCGTTCCTCATTGAGCTCAACAGGGTGCCTATGACGCTTGTGCTGCGCAAGGCCCCGATTACTACGATAGGAAGCACCACAAAACAGACATACACATTCTCCACTAACCACGCTTTCCACATTCTCCCTCTCCAAGTCATCATCTCCCACCCTCTCCGGATTCAAACTGTGGGTGGATACAGTGCTCGAGGCACTGTTTATAGGTAACTTACTTTTTGGCTTTGTAACCCACAATACACTCATGCAGGGGGGTTGGCCCAACATGAGGTGTCCTGGCTCTTAGCTCAGAGCAAAGCACACCAACTCCAAGAATCCACAGCACCTCAGCGCTAATAGTCTCAACGACACGATCGACGACCGCGCGTTTCAACCAAGGTCAATGCACCCACAAATGCACACACACCCGGCCCAGACCCGCCAAGGCAGATTCAGGTCCAGGCGCATGAACATATGCAGACACAGGCCCGACACATACGCAACCCCCGGAACGCAGCCTGCAGCAACGAACCAGGTGAAGCGCACATGGGTTGTCACGCATAGCATTCGAACCAAGAGACAAGTGCAACACATGCCACACACCTGACCCCTACCCCACCAGGGCAGAAATGAGCCAGGCGCATGCACACATGCAGGCACAAGGCGGCAATGGGTACGGTCTGACGGACCTAGCCAAAGCCTTAAGAGCGTAAGGAAGCATATGAAAACTCGAAGCGGCACGCCAGCTCCTAACCAGCGGTCGCCACGTGGAGGCGTCCAGGACATGTAACCATTCCTCCCACACCTTCCAGCCAAGGCGGTGATCCTCAAGGGACCACTCATTATACCGGTAGCATATACCAACAGCCGAAGCCGCAGGCAAAGCACTAGGCACCAGGGTCTGAAGATGTTAGAGAGTCATAGTTACTCCCGCCGTTTACCCGCGCTTGATTGAATTTCTTCACTTTGACATTCAGAGCACTGGGCAGAAATCACATTGCGTCATAACCGATCAGTGGACATCGCAATGCTTTGTTTTAATTAGACAGTCGGATTCCCCAGGTCCGTGCCAGTTCTGAGCTAGCCGTTTAACGCCAAACGAAGGAAGCAAGGCCGCGTCACGCACACGGTTTCCCGCACACGCTGCTAACCAGGCAACACGCTAGCTGAAGTCGCCCACGATCGGCCTGGTCAGAGTCCAGTGATTCCATAAGTCCCGGCTGGTCGAAGCAACCAGGACAAACAGAAAAACCAGCCCCCAACTTGACCGAAACGTTTCTGACTCCAGCCCATTTGGCTCGGCCCTCAGAGCCAATCCTTTTCCCGAAGTTACGGATCCAATTTGCCGACTTCCCTTACCTACATTGTTCAATTGCCAGAGGCTGTTCACCTTGGAGACCTGATGCGGATATGGGTACGGCCTGCCACGAAAATTATAATGCCTCGCTCGGATTTTCAAGGGCCGACAAGAGCGTTCCGGACACCACAAGAGGGGTGGTGCTTTACGGAGGCTAGTCCCCTATCTCCGGACAACCCGATTCCAGGGGATGGTGCACTCCTAATAAAGAAAAGAGAACTCTTCCCAGAACTCTTGCCGACGTCTCCGAGGTCGTTTGCGTCACCGCGCTCGATGCGAACCAACACAAGGCCAGAACACATCAATCTCCGTGGGCAGGGTCGGGAATATTAACCCGATTCCCTTTCGCTACAGGGGGCTGCTTGCAACAGTACAATCGCAGCAATCCTGAACATGTCAGGCACCCCGTCTCTGTACCGAGTTACCGGATCACTTAGGACCGCCTGACCCATGGCCAACTGCTGTTCCCATGGAACCCTTCTCCACCTCGGCCTTCAAGGTTCTCACTTGAATATTTGCTACTACCACCAAGATCTGCACCCGTGGCGGCTCCACTCAGACTCACGCCCGGAGCTTCCCGCTCACCACGGTGACCCTCCTACTCGTCACCACCATTCCTTGCCTGAGTCTTGGGTATCAACCCACGCCACACGCCATCGACTCAGCTTGCAGTGACGGTACGGTATAGGTTCAACGCTCCAGCGCCATCCATTTTCAGGGCTGGTTGATTCGGCAGGTGAGTTGTTACACACTCCTGTAGCGCACGTGCGGCCCCGGACATCTAAGGGCATCACAGACCTGTTATTGCTCATTTTCGTGCGACTGTCTCGCCGCTTGTCCCTCTAAGAAGTAAACACCTGCGCAGCACCCGCCGGCGAACGACACCACCGCCTCGAAGGGCAATGAGCACCGTCACCCGCACGAGCACACAGGACAGGCTTACTATTTAGCAGGCCAAAGTCTCGTTCGTTATCGGAATTAACCAGACAAATCGCTCCACCAACTAAGAACGGCCATGCACCACCAACCACCGAATCAAGAAAGAGCTTTCAATCTGTCAATCCTCACGGTGTCCGGGCCGGGTGAGATTTCCCGTGTTGAGTCGAATTAAGCCGCAGGCTCCACTCCTGGTGGTGCCCTTCCGTCAATTCCTTTAAGTTTCAGCTTTGCAACCATACTTCCCCCGGAGCCCAAAGACTTAAAGGTTTCCCGGGGACTGCCCGCGGGGACAATAAAAGAACCACCGCGGATCGTCAGTTGGCATCGTTTATGGTCAGAACTAGGACGGTATCTGATCGTCTTCGAACCTCTGACTTTCGCTCCAGATCAATGAAAACATCCTTGGCAAATGCTTTCGCTGTAGTTTGTCTGGCGGCGATCCAAGAATTTCACCTCTAACACCGCCATACAAATGCCCTCGTCTGTCCCCTTAATCATTATTTCGGATCCGAATACCAACATAATAGAACCGAAGTGCTATTTCATTATTCCATGCAAGAATTTTCAGGCTCTGTAGCCTGCTTTGAGCACTCAAATTTGTTCAAAGTAAACGTGCCGTCCGCATCCGACACCCGTTGAAAGGCACCGAGAAGCATGCCAAATAAACAGCGAGACGAACCCAATGATAGCCAACACCTGGAAACCAGACACGGCAGAAAGGCTGCACAACCACGACACTGACTCACAAATCCGCTCCAGTCGTAACCAGATTGGAAATACGAGCGCAGCATGTAGCCATGCGACCCAGATCCAACTACGAGCTTTTTAACTGCAACAACTTTAATATACGCTTCTGGAGCTGGAGTTACCGCGGCTGCTGGCACCAGACTTGCCCTCCAGTTGATCCTCGTACAAGGATTTAAAGTGTACTCATTCGAATTACGGAGCCTCTGATGAGTCCCGTATCCGTATTTTTCGTCACTACCTCCCCGTGCTGGGATCGGGTAATTTGCGCGCCTTCTTATTGGGAAAAGCAGCGAGTCAGTCACACGAAGATGAGCAATAACAGGTATGTGATGCCCTTAGATTTTCGGGACCGCACGTGCGCTACATTGACGGTTTTAGCAAGTTTGGAAAACTGGCCTGAGAGGTTGGGCAAACTGAATCATCACCGTCGTGACTGGGATCGGGGCTTGCAATTATTTCCCGTGAACAAGGAATTCCTGGTAAGTGCAAGTCATAAGCTTGCGCTGATTACGTCCATGCCCTTTGTACACACCGCCCGTCGCTACTACCGATTGAATGGTTTAGCAAGGTCCTCGGATTGGTGCCATTGTAGTTGCTTCGGCGACTCGACCGGTGCTGAGAAGACGACCAAACTTGATCATTTAGAGGAAGTAAAAGTCGTAACAAGGTTTCCGTAGGTGAACCTGCGGAAGGATCATTACAGCATTCACAACTCCAAATAATCAGCTGGTGGCTGACATTATTAACCGTACGAGCCCACCTAATCCTCATACTTTGCTATACCTACGGACTTGTCCGCTACGCACAGCGCACGTTGACCAGGGTGCCTACCTGTCTGATACCCGCGACATGCATGCGGCCTATGGCTGCCTGCCCCTGTTGTGGGGACGGGGTGTACTGTAAACATAACGGTACTAGGCTCAATGAGTGGTGAATATCAAGAGCTACGGCTCGGCCACCGCCCTATGTTTATCCTATTTCACAGTATGAGTGACGCATGTTAGATTCGTTCTGCATGTGTCAATGCTCATTAATGCTCCCGGCCTACACTGGGTTGCATTTACAGTCGCCTGGCGTTGCCTTGACCCAGGTTTGACTGTGAAAATGACTTATCACCTGTGAGAACGGGTGACTAAGCCATGTACAACTCTGAGCGGTGGATCACTCGGCTCGTGTGTCGATGAAGAGCGCAGCCAACTGTGTGAATTAATGTGAACTGCATACTGCTTTGAACATCGACATCTTGAACGCATATTGCGGCCATGGGTTAGCCTGTGGCCACGCCTGTCCGAGGGTCGGCTTACAAACTATCACGACGCCCAATAAGTCGTGGCTTGGATTTTGCCAGCTGGCTTTACTCCCCAGTCGGAAACGTCAGGGGTGTCAGATCTATGGCGTTATCCTAATGTATCCGGATACACACACCTAGTTATCAGACAGGTGGAGATGTGTCTACGGAGTCGTGGCTCAGTAATATTTATGCGCGCTCTGTAGAACATCTCGTGTGGTGAATTCCGAAATACGGCCTTCTAATCCTGACCTCGGATCAGACGTGATTACCCGCTGAACTTAAGCATATCACTAAGCGGAGGAAAAGAAACTAACAAGGATTCCCCCAGTAACGGCGAGTGAACAGGGAAAAGCCCAGCACCGAAGCCTGTGGCCAGTTGGTCATTAGGCAATGTGGTGTTTAGGTCGTTCCGCAGAAGCGCTGCTCCACCCCAAGTCCATCAATGAGTACCGTCACTGCAAGCTGAGTCGATGGCGTGTGGCGTGGTTTGATACCCAAGACTCAGGCAAGGAATGGTGGTGACGAGTAGGAGGGTCACCGTGGTGAGCGGGTAGCTCCGGGCGTGAGTCTGAGTGGAGCCGCCACGGGTGCAGTTCTTGGTGGTAGTAGCAAATATTCAAGTGAGAACCTTGAAGGCCGAGGTGGAGAAGGGTTCCATGGGAACAGCAGTTGGCCATGGGTCAGGCGGTCCTAAGTGATCCGGTAACTCGGTACAGAGACGGGGTGCCTGACATGTTCAGGATTGCTGCGATTGTACTGTTGCAAGCAGCCCCCTGTAGCGAAAGGGAATCGGGTTAATATTCCCGACCCTGCCCACGGAGATTGATGTGTTCTGGCCTTGTGTTGGTTCGCATCGAGCGCGGTGACGCAAACGACCTCGAAGACGTCGGCAAGAGTTCTGGGAAGAGTTCTCTTTTCTTTATTAGGAGTGCACCATCCCCTGGAATCGGGTTGTCCGGAGATAGGGGACTAGCCTCCGTAAAGCACCACCCCTCTTGTGGTGTCCGGAACGCTCTTGTCGGCCCTTGAAAATCCGAGCGAGGCATTATAATTTTCGTGGCAGGCCGTACCCATATCCGCATCAGGTCTCCAAGGTGAACAGCCTCTGGCAATTGAACAATGTAGGTAAGGGAAGTCGGCAAATTGGATCCGCAACTTCGGGAAAAGGATTGGCTTTGAGGGCCGAGCCAATTTTATCACGAAATATATGAGCAGACTTTCTGAACCTGCTCGACCCCGCTGTTCGAATCCGGGTGGAACTTGAGATTGTGACTTAGATGGAGAGGTTATTGGTTCAGTTCCTAGTACGAGTACTGAATTCGCATGTTTCTGTGGACAGAAATATGCCAGCAAGAGAAGCTTGTCTCAGCACAAGCGGCATAAGCATCCCGATGAGCTGAATGCGGAACGCCTGGAAGGGTTGCCGCGACGGAAGGGTGAATGGACTAAGGTAGAGTGCACCCACTTGCTACGTTATGCCGAAGGATTGTGGACTACTGGTGTCCAGAAGCAGCAGGTATATGAACAACTGACCTCAGTTTTTCCGGGACGGTCAGCGGAGGGGATTAAGAAGCAGTTGAGGAAGATGAGCTGGCGACTTGAACCATACAAGAAGTCGGCCCAGGGTGGTACCAAGCGGACTGCACACGAAAGTTCTCCAGTCGAAGTGGAAGACTTAGGGAGGGTGGCCAAGAGGACCAAGATCCGAACGCCTTTAGGATCTCCTCTAGCCTCGGATACGCCTAGTCACGCCATGGACTTGGGCGGATCCCCCTCTGGTGTAGGACCCGTCGACCTCTTGACTTTTCCGGCATTGATGGACATTGAGTTTGCTGACCTGGAAGGGTTGGTAGACTTAGTGCTTCCGTCCTCGCCGGTTAGGGCAGAGCGAGATGGTGCAGAGCAGGAGTGGAGGGCAGCAATGCTCGACACTATAGTAAGGGAGCTGTCGGAACACCGCGACGAGAGGCTCAAGTCAGACTTGCTTCTAGATCTAGCCCTGAACATCCGGGGAGGACGGCTGAACATCGCCGAGGCTCAGGGTAGGTTTGAGACCCACTTGGATACATGCTTTCCATCTAAGTGGGTTAAGCGGAGGAAACCAGAGGTCCCAGTTGCAGTAGGTAAGCGGAAGATCCGTAAGGTGACTTATGGAAAGGTGCAGACTCTCTACCGGAAGAAGGTCAAGGATGCAGCAGGTTGTATATTGGATGGGACTTGGAAAGACATCTACAAGATGTCGGACAAGTTATGCGACGGTAGCCAGGAGTACTGGCGGACCACTTTTACTACTCCAGGCTCGGTGGGCACAAGACCGCCCCCGGATGCGGTTGAGAATTACGATTTAATCTCCCAAATCACCGTTGCGGAAATCCAAGAAGCACTCAGGGGCTCGAACACCACAAGCCCAGGACCAGATGCCGTGACCACTCTAGAACTAAGACGTATGAACATCAGTGTGCTAGCGCAGGTTTTCAACCTGATGCTGGTGCTCCAGATCCCGACTAAGGCTGCCTCTTTAGCGCGTATATCTCTCATACCCAAAGTAGTCAAGCCGGAACACCCGAACGAGTACCGACCGTTAGCTGTGGCTTCAGTGCTACTAAGGACGTTCCATAAGATCTTGGCGCGTCGATGGAGACCAAGTATGAAGCTAACATCGCTTCAAGTAGCATTCCAGAAGCGGGATGGGTGTCTAGAGGCTACCTACGCCTTGCACTGTTTGTTGCGTCGGGCGCAGATGCGCAGTTCGGATGCAGCGGTTGCGTTCTTGGACGTAGCCAAAGCGTTTGATACTGTTTCGTTTGACTCGGTGCTTCGGGCGGCGCAGAGCCAGGGTGCCCCTGGGCCTCTACTGCGATATCTGGACCAACTGTACACACAATCGGAAGTACTGTTGGAAGGTGAGCGTCTTACATGTGGTAGGGGAGTGAGGCAAGGGGATCCCCTGTCTCCTCTGCTTTTCATTATGACTATGGACGAGGTCCTTGCGACTTCGGGACAGGGGCTCGGGGAATCTGCTGTGGCTGGCGATCCGAACGGAGCGCTGGCCTATGCGGATGACCTGGTGCTAGTAGCTAACTCTCCCTCAGAACTCCAAGCTAAGCTGAAAGGCTTAACTAAAGGACTACGAGAGGCCGGTATGGCATTGAACATCGCCAAGTGTCGGTCTATGACGATCAGGAAGCTAGGGAAGAGGAAGCTAGTTGTACTGGAGCCTCACTCCTACAAGATCGGTGGTGAAGTGATACCGCCAATGATGCCCAGCGAGGAGGTCCGCTACCTCGGTTTGCCATTTACCTGGAAGGGACGGAAACCTCCTAAGACTACTACTAAGCTGGAGGCTATGATAGCTGAAATAAGTAAGGCGCCACTGAAGCCTCAGCAACGAATTCGGATTCTGTGTGATTTCGCCTTGAAGAAAATTGAGTATGAGATGGTACTAGGTAACGCGCACCGGAACACCATAAAGGCAGTGGATGGGATGGTTCGAGAAGCAATCCGGCGATGGCTTAGACTACCGAAGGACACATCGATGGCCTTCCTTTATGTTAGCTCAACGGATGGAGGTATGGGTGTGCCGCAGATGGGGATTACCATACCCTTGGCGCAACGAGAGAAGTTTCGCAGGCTACTCACGTCTCCGGACGAGTGGATTAGAAGCCTAGCCACGGATGACGCCGTCCTAGTGGACAAGCGGGTAGCTAGTCTACCTATTAGAGTAGGAAACACCGAGGTGGGTAACCGAGCGGAGGCTGTCCAAGCTTGGAGATCTCAGTACACCGAGATGCTCGACCTCAAGGGAGTGCGTATGGACCTAATGGACAAGTCGAGTACCCTTTGGGTCCGTCGTCCTGAGAGGGTCTTCCCCCGTCTTTACATCAGGGGGCTTAAGCTTAGGGCAGGCGTATTACCATCTAAAGTGCGAAGCAGTAGGGGCGTATCCCGTAAGGCTGGAACTTCTCTCAAGTGCCGAGGGTTATGTGGGTACCCTGAAACGGTCACTCACGTCCTGCAGAAATGTGCGATCACGCACGACGCCCGATGTGCACGACACAACCGTGTTGCTCGGAAGATAGCCGCTTTAGTTCGTAAGCGTGGGTTGCATGTGCTGCAGGAGCCTATCGTAGGTAAGAACAAGAGCTACTGCAAGCCGGACCTGGTAGTTGTTTCTCGAAACGATGTCTTAGTAATGGATGTAGCTGTTACCATCGGTCCCAATGTAGAACGTATGTGGGTGCAGAAGATCGAGAAGTACAACACTGCTGAGGTGAACCATCAGTTACTAGCTCTAATGAAGGGTAGTCAGCCAGTACCTAGAGGAGTTAGGCACATCCCCTTGATCTTCACCGAGCGCGGCTACCTGTACAGGCGTTCTGCTGACGGCTTACGGAAGTTAGGTTTAACATCTCGTGATTTGTCTGATTTAAGCCTTC